CATCAAAGATAATGCTGAAAGGTTAATGTGCGCCCAAGCGGAAACACACTGTTAAGCCGTAACCGTATTTCCGCAGTGAAGTTAATTTAATGTGCGTGACATTGGTCCTTGCTTTTAGTGTATAAAATGCAGGACAATGGAAGGTATCCTGCAGAACTTGAGAACTAAAAGCGCGGATTTCCATGAAGGCCATCACGCCCACCACCTGTTGTCCTACATTTCACTCTTCAGGGTAGGAAGTCCTTCGCATTACGGTCTGAAAATGCCAAGTGACGTCATCTTCGCCAAGGCCGCCGCTTCCCTTTTTTCCTATTGAATCGTCCGACAATTTACGACTGCGACGGGCTCGAGCCCCAAAGCAGAGCTGACCGCACCGAATTGGTGCCCCATCCTTACAAGAGGCGACAGCGCTTGATATCGCAGGACCACAACACCGTCACAGGATCTTCCACCACGACCAATGCGGCCACACCCGCCGCAACCCAACAAAGAGCAGCCCTAACGTCCTGGACAGACGCCGCATAACTGCCTATGCTGCAGCACTACTGCCGTCCGTGCCCTACCTATATCCGCTCGGTTCACCATGGACACAACACGTCCTTATACCCCTAGCATGCCCTTGACACCCGCCAGCCGAGCAGAAACTAGTAAAGTATTTCTCTGCTTTCTGCCTACTCTCACGCGCCCAAAGGCAACAAAGGTAAAATGATTAACGCTAAGGGCCAAACGTCTTTAATGCACTCCTCTCAAGCCTAACCGGTTTTCTTTTACCTGCCAATGCGGCGTGGGGGTACAAACGCAAAGGAGACTTACTCGCTGCGTGATGGCGCTTTTTCCTCAAGACAGGTCTAGTCACCAGACTTGTCTTACCGGCCAGTTTGCGCCTGTAGCCCAAACGAGGTAGCCGTGGCCACTGTGATGCTTTAGACATATGGATAATTAACATTTCTGTCCGTACCTGGCGGCCTCAACCTGCCCAAAACCTGCCTAAGTATGCACAGAAACAACCATCCCACTTCCATTTCCAATCCAAAACCATGCCACGCATTTACACTCTGCGTCCTGCGCACGCTCCGCTACACCCTTGTAACATGTCCCAATATAATCAGCAAAACGCCAGGGACTGTTCTCACTCTGGTTTGCAACCTCCCGAGCACTTCCGCGATACACTCCAACACGCGTCATGCGGGCTTCTCTTCCTCAAGCTTCCTCACTTACAAGCCCTCGAGCGTCCGCAGCGCTGTTGGCTGAAGCTGGGAGGTAGCCACAACCGCCATGTGCGCAGCCGCTACCATCGACTGGCTACGATCGATGCCGTCACCGCCGTACCCTGGGCTCCCAAAGCCGCCAGTGTACGGCACCGGCGGTAGCGACCCGTGCCCCGTGCCCATCACGCCGACACCGTTCCCAAGAAGGTAGCCCGGCATGCCCTCGGAATGCGTGCTGGCGGCAGCAGCGACGGCAGCGTCTGCCGCCGCCGCCACGGCCGCCGTGAACGGGTTGGCACTCAGCCCTCCGCTGCCGCTGCCGGCGGCAGCGGAGGG